TTTTACTATTGCTATTTCCAGTATCCACCAAAGTTGCTGAATGCAACGGCCGTGTAGATATCATCAAAACGTCTTTCTTGTCTTTCCATTTGATCAATTTTACGCCTTCTTTATTCTGAAGTCCGTAAACTTCACCACGTCAAAGGTTTTTTTTGAGCAACTTCGCTGTCTGATCCGGCACGATTACTTCTCAGTGTCCCAATAAGATACGTATCATGTTCTAACAAACGCTTTGCCAGGAGAATGCTGGTAAAGAAGTTGTCAGCTGCCACGGTTCGATAACATCCCTCAAGATCATCCAATAAATGCATCACCACTGTTTGAGCATGCCCAAGACCTGCCATTGAATCTTATTGACCGGTATAGATTATATAATTCCAGGTGTATCCATTGGTAGCCGCCAGTTTGTAAATTTTGACGTCGTACTTGTGCGCTTTTCCAGGAATATATTGCTTGAACGAAAGCCTGCCTTGCCATGGTACCATACTTTCATCGATAGTGACAACCGAACCAGGTATATACACTGACGAAAATCTGGCTTTCAGTAAATCCAAGAGTGGTCTCAACTTGAACAGCCTGTCCTGATTCGAATTGTTGTTGACGTTGTTCGAAAAATGCCAAAACTTGAGAAGCAATTCGAACCTCTCTCTCGGCATAGAGTTTCGAATAATCTCTGATCCGTACAGCTGGCTGCTACTCCAGTAATGGCTCAGTTTCGGCATTTGTACCAACCCCATTTGGATAACGATTCCAAGAAACTTGAGAATCTCTTGATCAGTAGCTGGTTTCCATTGACGAAATTTGGATCGACTGGTAATGTTATGGGCTCGAAAAAATTGCTCAGCATATCGATTAGTTTCACGAACCATAAGATCAATAATTTCGTCTGTGATGAAATGTCGATAACAATCGATAGGATGCACTGTATTATCTTCTGAAGCGGAAGTTACTTCTTCGACGAGTCCATGGTCTTCCATAAATTCTTCATCCGATTCTGATTCTATCTCATTCCAGCTGTTAGAATCCATCTCGTCGTCAGACATTGCTTCGACGGAACTTCCTGATTCCAGATGCATGTTATCTAAATCATCATCTAAAGAACTCACTTCACTTAGTGAGCTAGTACTTTCTTGTGTATCAATTTCTTCGGACGACATATGCAATATTCCGAAATTTGGGTCGCTTTTATACATACAAGAATAGAGATAAGAACAAAGAAAAAAATCTGGAAGCTTCTTTCGTTTATCTTATATGTGTTACTCGTAAGATGTGAAAGAATGTAAAAAAAAACTTGAGAGATTTTTCATATGTTCGCAAAAAATGACTCATTATGTGATGATATAAAAAAGAGAATAATGGATAATTGATAGAAGATGATGGAAAGGTTATTAAATGCATTTATTTGAAACTAACTTTTGACACAAATGGATATTTCAATGAATTTTCTAAGAAAACTGAATCGTGGTGAATGGGTTAATTAGAAAATAAATTCCCTTCGATTTTGTTCTTATATTTTAGATATCTCACACTAATGTTACAAGTGCTACGATTAACTGAATATGCTTAATCTTATTAATATATGTTTATCATTATTCATTAAATTAATTATTATTATATTACTGCTGATATTACTGGTTTATGGATTTCATTTCTTTCAAATGGATTTCTTATTGAACAAATGGTTTTTAAAGAAGAAACAACGAAAAATAAATGATTTACCAAAATATATGCCATTACAACCATATCGATCGATTCATATTGATGAATTAGCAGTACCATCAAGTATCGTTGAATTATTTCGTACTGCAGCACCAACAACAAAATTTACATTATTTGTTCCTATTGATTATCTTGAAGAAAATGATTATATACAATTAGAAATGATTCAACATTCATTTTCATTAATGGTATTCATTCGACGTTCAAATGCATATCCACCTGATGTATTGGAACATATACAACAGTTATTTAATCTCGTCATGGATTCATCCAATTGTATTCATATCTGGGGAAATATGAATAATATTATTTCAACATTAGAAAATTTAGAATTTTTCTTTCATGACATGTTTCATCCTGTCCATTATATCAATATACAAAAACAATTTAAACAATGGTATAATAGTACATTTATCCATGGTTATTATTGTGAACAAAATTTAAAATTTAATACAATTGATGGACCATTATGTTCTTGTTCTTATCGACCATTAAAAACATTAAATGAAGAATGGACAATTGATCAAGCAATTGCTTATACATTTACTGAATATTTGAATATTGATATTGCAGATAATATTAGTTCTAATCAGATTTGTTCTGCAATTAGTACATTATCAATTGTACTTGATCAACAATGGACTCGTGAACAAGTTCAAAGTTATATTCAAGCACATATGAATCTTCGTCAAGTCAACATATTTTATTCATTGTTAATCGTCTATTTGTGAATATGCTCATTTATTCTAGATACATACAAAACGTTAAATTCCATTACCAGCTTACATAGACTAGTCTATTCTCGTTATAGTTTGTTTTTCTCTTCTCTCATTTGATCGTTTTTCTTCCGTTTACTTACATGAGCACAATATGTTTCTTTCCATAGCTGATATTAAACTATACGAATACATTCATATTATATAGTTTTTGAATATCTTCTAGATTTAAATTTCTTTCATTAATATTGAAACTTATTTTAACAATTGGAATGTTTCCAATAACTCACCATTATCCTCCACAACAACAGCAACAACAATTTCCACAAGGATTCAGTTGTAGTGGTGTTTATAACAACAGCAATGTCTACATTAACAATCATAATCCACCATATTATGGAATTATTCATCCAAATGGATATTATGTATATTCACCAATGCAAAGTTACGACTATAATTATAATAATCCATCATATTCTAACTATGGTTATTATTTTCCATATCCTATTGGTTATAACTGGAATTATCCAATTGATCAATCGCAACGTCAACAACGACAGTATAATAATACTAATAATAACAATTACCATCGTAATCGTGATCATGATGATAATAATAATAATCAACTACAACAACAAAATCAAGTTAATCCATTACCATCACTACAACCTACAGATTGTGACAATAATGATACTAATCGTGATTATCTCAATAACAATCAAATTTTTAATTGGCTTAAAGAAAAATCAATTCATACAACTTTTATGGCATATGATTGTCCACCATTTGCTTATGTTTCAGCAATAGCTTTAATTTATGATAAATGGATTCGATATGATTACAAAAGAAAGCTTTGGAAATCATATTTAAAATTTGGACAAGAATATAATTATTGGACAGAAGAAGTTTTTCAAGCTACTCAAACAATGGATAATAGTACGAATACAAAATTTCTTGAAGTAAAAATTAGTCAATTGGATGAGAATATCGATAATATCATAAAAGATTTTCATCAATGTGAATCTATCTTATTTAATTACAGAGAATATGATCGTAATTATCGAACAACTGATATGTTACTTAACATTGCTGGAAAAATTACAGATACAGAAATACTTTCATTTGAGCAAATCAATGATTATCAAGATGAATTAAATGATTCTATCAAGGATTATATAATGGACTGTACCAGACATTTTCGAAAATCGATTGAAACCAAAATTCAATTAGCTAAAGTTCATGCTGATCATTTTTAATTATCATCAAATTTAATGAACTGTCTCATCTATCGTTCATCTTTATCTTTATCTTTTTCTTTCTACTATGTTTCCTTCTTTTCTTTTTAATTATAAGTAAATCATTCTCTCTAGTTCTTTCTTCTATTTCAGATATATATATTCTCATTTGCAAGCCCTGAAGAGTAACCTTTATTAAGGTACGAAACGCGTCGGGGAAGCAAGTTCTGCATTTATTTTTTAATCAGAAATCTATTCAATACATT